CTAAACCAAGACATAATACAAATGAGTATTTAATTAGCAAATAACACACAAATAGATGACATACTATTAGAGGCGGGACTGTTAGTCGTATTTGAATTTGATTTGGGTTTCGAGGATTTGATTCGCAAACCTCTGAAAGCATTGGAGAGTTTGGAAAAAGTTCCTGAAGTCGACTCTTGCGATACATTTTGAGCGTTTGAACCAATGTTTGAACTCTTTTTGATGGATTCCTTTTTAATGTTTGGTTTAGTGTTTAAGTTATTGTTTATGTTTTTATCTTTTTTGTCGCTATTCTTAACCTTTTTATTCAAATTCTTAATGTTTTCTGGTTTTTCAATATTATTCACAAAATTGTTTGCAATCCTTTCAGAATTGGATTTAATGTTTGGCTCGCTTTTTGTTTTATTAATGTTAACATTATTTTGATTAGTATTTGAATTAGTGTTGGAATAAATGGCCTCATAATTAGGTTTGAATTGTGGATACGGGCACTGGATCTGTGCGATGGCCGGCACTGAGATGTGCCGCACATTGGAAACAGTCATAAAACCGTGTCTACCGTACAGACTATCATAGAAGGGAAGGGTAGAGTTGAGGCCAGGGTTTCGCAATTTCATGATATCATAATAGGAGTGAATGCTTTGGTTTTGGGATGCGGTCGACACTCCGGTCGCCTCTAATGGCTGTGATCTCCTATACTTAGGTAATACTGATTCGTATATATTATTGTTGGACACGTTTAGCACTTTTATGGCATTGTTTTGGTTTATATTAAAACTATTAAAGTTTTCCATATTATTAGTGTTAACCAGAAGTGTGTCCGAAACGAGATTAGGGGCCGATATGTTGCACCCTCTCTGGCCAATGGGCTCGTAATGGTTTTGCTGAGTGACTGTCAACTCATTTGGTTGACGTCTGGGCAGAGCAACGGATACTATGAGTCTTCCGTCGGAAGTATTAGGCAGTGAAGTGATGGTTCCGTCGAGCATATGATGGTATTGATAAGTTCGGGGAGGTTTAGGAGGGGGTGGCAGTGGTTGGCTTTGGATGTGAGCATTGATTGTCATTTGCAATGGAGGGCCCATTTGGGACGATATCTGATGTGGAATTGAGTTATTGTTTTGCATTTGTGACTCAATTGAATACAAATTGGGAACAACTCGATGAATGGGTTGCGATGACTGAACTGATGGCACGGATTGGAGTTGTTTTTGTTGAATGTGTTGACGAATCTCTTGTTGCAATTGTTGATGATTTTCAAGTAGTTTTTGTTCGCTTAATATGGCAAACGATTCCATAACTGAACCGTTGAAGTGATTTGTTTGCATCATTTGTTCAGAGTTTT